AAATATGCCAAGTCATGATATATAAATGCCACAATAATAAAATCATGTGATAATCAAGTATAGCTAAGTGTTTATCCATCTAAGCTGACACAAGAGTTCGAACAGATAATTTCTGACACGAACAGGACTATGTGTAATCAATATGCTCTAGTACTACGATCACATGAAGACTGGTACAGAAGCACGTCACATTCAAGTCCGATTGCTTAATGCAATTTGCTCGATAGGACTGGCACCTAACTTGGATCCAAGGCTAGCGAATGGTGCGATGTGAACATACACATGAAGGATTGGCTCTGGCCCTGGGGCGAGTACTAACACCGGTGCAGCAAGATGAGCATGTACAGATATGTATGAATGTCATGACAGTAATATTCCAACCATATAACAACATTTATCACATTTAATATCACAATAATGAATACTTGGCAATATAAGCGTAAAAGTGAAGTAACTATGCATTTAGGGAAACTATCAATATGTATAAGTATAAAATAAAGTACCCACTCACTGATACGCAGTTGAAACGAAGCCTTCTAGCCTTGCTTGACCTCGTACGTCCTCAGGATATGTTTCCCCTATATGTGAAATTACTTATTAACTTAGTTTAATAACACATTCACGGAAACTTAAATAAAACCTCCGTAGATTGCTCAAACATAGGGTTTGAATACATGAAATCGATCTACTCAAAGTCACGGACCTACACAAATTGACAGAAGGTCAATCGGAGGCTGGACGTGCCGCCATAAGTGGCTGCATTGGCATCCACGCGCTGCATGAACCGAGGACCCATATGAGACCACGACTGCTCACGCGCCTGCGAGTACGGTTGTACTCGGCTTCTTCTCAAGTTCTTGCATTTTGCAGGTTGAAGGTCCAACTTCCGGAGCTCCTAACTAGCTCAATTCTCAACCAAAAACAATTCTACAAAGATCAAATTAAAGCTAGGAATGTAATGAATCGATCTCTATTCACAGAAAATTCAAATGTGGTCCATGTCATCCAGAACTTTGGCTTAAATATGTCCAAATGACCATGGTTGACTTTTCCCAGAAATCTGGGAATTTTTTCCCAACTTCCAGAGTTGATTTCTAACTCAATAGTTACCCAAACTCAGTGATTCAAAAGCCATTTTAAAGTTAGAAATATAGCGAACAAGTCTATACCTATTATGAGTCCAGTCATAGTCGAGGTTGGCAGGAAAAATGGCCTGAAAGTGGCCAAATTGCCACGGGTTTGAGTTTCCAGAAATCTGGGAAATTTTATCCCAACTTTGAAGGCAAATTTCTAGTTCGCTACCTAACCATTTTCAGTGTTCTACTTATATATTTGAAGCTCGTAATGAGGGGAACAGGATCATACCATCATGAGGTCAAAACATGGTCGGAGTCGGCCAGAAAAGTGATCCGAAAGTGGCTCGACGGTCACGGTTTCTTCAATCCAAAAATCTGGGGAAAATTTTCATTTCATCCTTTTAGTCACCAACCCTACCAAAATAAGTTTAAAACCCTAAAATCATTTACAAACAACGAAGAAGAATGAAGAGAGGGTGTTCCTATGGCCAACCTTGGTTGTGAATGGGAGAAACTCACCGGAGTAAGTCGAACTCGAAGTAGTTCTTTCTTGTGCACCCAGAGAGCTCAGTTCTCAAATGAGGGCTGGTAGTTAGGATATTAATAGTGGTTCAGTGGCCTGAGGGATCACCGGAGGGGCGAGGTGGTGACTGGTGTTGGTGGTGCAGTGTACGGCTGCACTGGTTTTCATAAAGGGCGAGAGGGTTTGAGAGGAAGAGTCTTTAGGGGGAGAGAGGAAAGATAGTGATGTTTGAGCTTTCTGAAATTGGATTGGGTTATGGGTTTGTGAGGTCTGATTTCGGATTGGTTGCCAACATTGAGGGAAATGATGTGAGTGGTAGAGAGTGAAACCGAGAAAAGGAAATGTTGAAATTGATTGGTTGATGAGATGGGGGAACATGGATCCCTTTTTGAGGGGATGGATGGATTTTGTACAATTTTTAATGTACAAAATCTACCCCTCTACAATGTTTCAAGCACTGGTAAATTTGTACGCTCGTGTACAAATACCCACAGTTGACGTACTTTAACGGAGTGTAACATTTTGTTAAAGGTTCGATTCGAGTCTAATACACTCTCACACGTTCGTAGCGACAAGTACTAATGTAATATGAAACCAGGAAAAAGAAATTGGAAGACGAAACCACGTCCACGTCAGATTCTTCTTTTGTCCAAAAAGGATAAAATCGTCAACTCACACCAACGGAAAAGAAATCACAGTGAAAAGTAGGGACGGGTCGTCACAAAACGATACTTAATGAAAATTGAAAACTTGAAAATAATTCAATTCATAATTTAAGCATTCAAAGTCATGGCTACATCGTAGCCCTAGCTAAGGAAAATTAGTTCTGATACATAATCGAAAATATTATTGAATTCATAAAAAATTAAAAGAAAACAAGTTTACAAAAAAGCCTGAAAATCCCCTTGCTGTGTTGCTGCCTTCTTCTCCTCGCTCTAGCGATGCCTTCTTCAATGATAACCTTCATTTTTTAATCTTATTGTTTTCTCTTCTTCTGTTTCATTTATGATTAGCCCCAATTGATTAGATTAGTGCCCAACCGTTTCTGTTTTTCTTCTTTGTCTTCCCTCTTCTCACCGTAGCTTTTTTTCTCGTAACCGACGAAGGTTTAAAGCCAAGTTATTGCCTTGTACAGCCTAGGTTTACTCACTGCAATCATAGCCTCCCAATCAGTTTCTTCAACTCTCCAGTTGCTTAGTAATTGAAATTTTAATCTCCCAACTCGACTTCCAATAAATCTGAAAGTGGCTAAATCCCAAATCAGTTGGCACCAGTAAGTAATGGACCAATAACCAGAACATATGCTCCTGCTAAGAACCCAGAAATTGAAATTTGAAATGGATGGGTGCCCATCTTTCTGAATCATTCTCTTTCCTGAACTGAGTTGTCGACGTGGTATGTATATCAGAAGAGAAAGTAGAGCTTTCTTCTCTCTTTTTCATGCAAATGAAAAGATAAATGCAACCTTGTTGTTGAAGTGGCCACGTGCCTTTTCCTTCACCCTTCACAAAAGTTAAATAATACCAATGTAAACTATTGAAGCCCAATGACATACACAAATATAGGTCAATGATATTTGAAACAATTCCCAGACCAATTTGACTAGCCATGGAAACCAATGACTTATAATATAATTATTTGTCATATTAATCTAGCTAAAAAAAAATACATAAACATGTCATGACCTCAACTAAAAGCAAAGATATCAGTACAAAGTGTTGTTTTTAGGGATAAAATAAATAGTACAATTTGTGCTTATCAAGCATGACACACCCCGACCCGGAATGTCCACTAGGACTCCAAATTGAGCAGTGCTGGGCAACACCTGGAAGGTGACGAAGCCATAAAGTGTAGTGATGTGTAAAATGTGAATAAATTTAAACCTAAAAGTGCCTAATTATAAGAGTGCGCTGTGAGCAGGAATGAACCAAATTCACATGTGATGACAGAGCATAAGTACATTACAGTAAAATAAGGTGAGAAATTATACCATCGAAAGTAACCGTCTACCCCAAGATTTGCCAAGAATCCTTGTCGACATGTGAGCAGAACTACTAAACCTGGATGGGCAAAAAATAAAGGTGAGTGGGCTTGAAAATAAAGTTTTAATTAAAAACATTTTGAAAACATCAAAACCCCTCGCCGTAAAACATGTATAGTTTCCAAAATATACATACTATGTATGGTATGAAAATACTTATTGTAGCCTGCTAAACGTAAATAAGGCATGATATCCCAAAATCACAAAATCTCTACAGTAATATAAGTAAAATCAAGTGCTCAACAACCTATGCTAGCATATCAGTCGGAGTTGCCTAATGCGACCTGTACGACTGAACCTATTGCTCATCAATCTATGCTAGCACACGAGTCGGAGTCGCCTAGTGCAATCTGTAGAACAGGACTGGGTGTAATAATATACTCTCTAGTGCTACAATCATATGAAGACTGGCGATAATTGCGGTCACCTACGAGTCGGAGTCACCTAATGCAACCTGTACGATAGGACTGGCACCTACTTGGATCCAAGACGAGCTTGCGGTGTGGGAGGTGAACATACACATGAAAAACTGGCCCTGGCTCGGAGCGGGAACACTAACACCGGGGTGCAGCAATGATGAGCACTACATGAATATAAGCATGCCCTAATGATGCAATAATTCTAACCAAAATAATAAACTTACCTGCGCATCCTGTAGGATCATTTTGGCATTTCACAATTTCACAACAATGCAACATTTTTTAATCATGGCATGCAATGCATAAATCAATTCAAAAGAAGCAAGAGAAGCTTCTAAGTGGTGGCAGATTTGAAAAGCCACTTGAAGCACTGTAGCGAGGTGGTGGGAGTAAGGTTGTGAGAGTTATAGAGTAGGAAGAGGAGGGCATGGACATGATTGTGAAGGACTTTAGTCTTTGAGGGTATATTAGTACTTTTATATCAACATTTAGTTAAAATTATCATAGTATTAAATTAGTGGTTATATTCTATATTGAGTCTAAATTTTGGTTATTTTTTCAAATTTTCTGTGTGGGGTATGATAAATGTTTTCAAACAATAATAAAATTAATATAAAATTCGTTCAATAATTAATCAAAAAAAAAATTGAAGCTGCTGTCAATTTTGACAATAAAGGTAAGAGTTGTCAATCTATATTATGCCACAACAAATTTGATTTTTGGTTAGAAGACATTGTTGCTGCTTGTTTCGACGGCTAATGATGATTTGAATATTTTAACATCTCTTTTTAAAATTCTTTAGGTAATCTCATTTTAATCTAACTCCACTTTCTCTCCTCCCACAATAACTCCCACCAAATTTCAATAAAAAAAATAATAACAAAAATATATATATATCCGAAGCACAGTTACTAGCTGGGAGCCTGGGACTGATACATTATTCCATCTGACAGCAACAAGCAAGTTTCTTCTCGCTTCACTTCCTCAGCATAATCCAGCTTCTCAGTTCAGTTTGGTATGAAGTTTTTCAGCTACCTCTAGATTCTCGAATCCTACATCTGGGTGTTTAATTTGGTATGTTTCTAGCTGTTAGAGGGTTTTGTTTTTCACTAATTGGAAATGGAAAAAAAATTACATTTTTACCGTTTCAAACGCACAATTAGCCATTTTAATATCTGGGTTATGATATATACTCTCTGTGTGTTGATGTTTATAGCAAGGAATCACCCCCTTCCCATTGTGTAGGAAAGTTCTTTCCTTTACATTCCCATTTTACCCTTTCCAAAGTGGATTGTTGAATGGATTTGTTTGCAATTTGCTCCTAAATCTAAATTCATTATTTTTCTTTTTTTGTTTCGTTACGTTTTGATTCAGAAGGAGCAACAAACGCTGCAAGACTCCCTCTTACATCTCTGAACAAGTCTTGACTAACATACTAGTAAAATTACCAGTAAAATCACTTGTCCGGTTTATGTGCGTATCGAAGTCATGGGGTCATTTGATTGCCAGTTCAAGTTTCGTTAGCGCCCACCTGATGAATGCCCGAAAGCATGCTCCTACCTATCTAGTTGCCTTCCACCAGAACTCGAGAGACAAACGAAAGATTGGCCACTCTCTTTTTTGTAATGAAACATTTGAGCAGTACTTGGAGTTAAGGCTTCCATCCGAAAATGGAAAACATTTTGGGATATACGGTTCAAGTAATGGTTTACTTTGCATTTCTACAAGAATTTTGGTTTGGAGGAGTCAAATAGAGATATGGAACCCATCTGTTAGGAAGATTAGGATCCTTCCACTTATTGGCCTTCCACAGCATCCTGGTGCCAAATATGACATTGGTCTCTCATTTGGGTTCCACCCAGAGCTTAACGACTACAAGGTGGTAAGGATGCTGCATTTTGGTCAAGGGTTGATGGATTCCTTTACTGTGGCAGTTTATTCTTTTAGCACAAACTCTTGGTGGAGAATTGAAGTAATTCCTGATTGGTTAAAGTGCCCGTGGCAGAATTTGGGATGTGAATTTTGGAATGGAATAGCGTATTGGCTTATCATGAAGGATTCAATTGCCAGGATTGTGTCATTGGATACGGACAGTGAAAAGTTTGAAGAAGTGGTGGTGCCGAATACTATTTCTTCAGGAAATCTCTGTACCAAAGTGTACAGGGAATCAATTTGCCTGCTTCAAGTCTTTCTTCGAAGGGACGGAAAGAAACAAGTTAACTTATGGGCTATGCAACAAGGGTCTTTTGAAAAGTTGTGTTTTTTCGTCATTTACGGAGAAGGTAGTCTCCCGTTGTGCTTTTGGACAGACAATGAACTGTTTGTGGAAGATGGAGATTATCGTGATGGCATGGCAGATCTGGTTTTATATACACTTAAATCCAACCAGGTTCAGGTTAATAGAACCGGAATTAGGTTGGTGCTTTCTCGCTATGGGGGTCTTCATTTTGGATCTTTATACAACTGCTCTGCGAATTCTTATGTTGAAAGTTTAATTTTACTCAATGATGGAAGAAATGCACAAACTCCGCCTATGTAAGTTTATCTTACATGGCCGGTCCCAAGCCCGGGTAAAGGAGGAGGGGGAGGGCGTCAGGTAGTCGACAGCCGGCACTCCACAGTCACGTCGAATCCTTATGAAAATGAATTCAGAACGAAATCGCGCTAAAGCTAGGGCGTCACCCGTAAGTGGCGTGCTGTGTGGCCCGAGCACAGTGATAAGTGAGCAAGGGTCGCTGTATTTCCATAGGCACCCGGATGCAGTGTTAAATGAGCAAGGGGGCCATAGAAACTTCTTTTCGAACGACTCCACTCAAAGTTGTTTGGGAGCATATGCACCTATCAACTTTACACGGGACACACAAAAGAAGTACTTTGATTCCATTGGACGGGGGAGGGTGAAGAAGCTAGGACAGAAGGGTAGAGTTCAGGAGAGTAGAATGCGTTTAGGAACGTGGAATATAGGAACCTTAACGGGAAAATCTATTGAAGTAGTGGAAGTTATGGTGAGGAGAAGGATAAATATTATGTGCCTACAAGAAACTAAGTGGGTTGGTCTTAAGGCAAAGGATCTAGAAAACTCAGGGTTTAAACTTTGGTACTCGGGCACAAATAGAACGAGAAACGGTGTTGGCATCATCGTGGACAAGACCTTGACACAAGATGTTGTAGATGTCAAGAGGGTAGGAGATAAAATCATGGCAATCAAGATTGTAATAGGACAAGAACTTATCAATGTGATTAGTGCGTACGCACCTCAAGTAGGGTTGGATATAAGTTCGAAGGAGAAATTTTGGGAAGACCTTGGAGACTTGGTGCAAGGAATTGCTCAGACGGAGAAGTTATTTATAAGAGGAGATTTAAATGGACACGTGGGCAGGGAGACAGGCAACTATGGAGGTTTTCATGGTGGCCATGGTTTTGGGGAGAGAAACGAGGATGGGGAAGCTATCTTGGATTTTGCAATGGCATATGATCTCTTCTTAGCCAACACCTTCTTTAAGAAGAGAAGAACATGTGATCACCTACAAGAGTGGGTCGTCAAAAACACAAATAGATTTTCTTTTAAGGAGAGAGCGTGGCTAATCAACATCGCTTGTTGGTGATGGATGTACATATCAAAAGAGTGAGAAAAAAGAACAAGACTTGGAAGTGCCCAAGGACTAGATGGTGGAATCTAAAAGAAGAAAAACAAGTCATTTTCAAAGAGAAAGTAATCACCCAGTGTGTGTGGGATAGAGAGGGGGAAGCTAGCCAAATGTGGGATTCCATGGCTAGTTGTATACGAAAAGTAGCAAAAGAGGTGTTAGGAGAGTCCAAGGGCTTTGCCCCACACCAAAAGGAATCTTGGTGGTGGAATGAGGAGGTACAAACAAAGGTGAAGGCTAAGAAGGAATGTTGTAAAGCCTTATACAAGGATAGGACCGATGAAAATGGTGAAAGGTATAGAAAAACGAAGCAAGAGGCGAAGAAAGCTGTGAGAGAAGCTAAGTTAGCGGCTTATGACAATATGTATAAGCGACTAGATACCAAAGAAGGAGAGTTGGATATCTATAAACTAGCTAGAGCAAGGGAAAAGAAGACAAGGAACCTAAACCAAGTGAGGTGCATCAAGGATGAGGATGGAAATGTTCTTGCTACAGAGAATGCGGTTAAAGATAGATGGAGAGGTTATTTTCATAATCTTTTCAATGAAGGACATGAAAGGAGTGCTTCTTTAGGGGAGTTGAGTAACTCAGAAGAGTGTAGAAACTACTCTTTTTACGTCGAATCCGGAAGGAAGAAGTGGTTGTAGCTTTGAAGAAGATGAAGCATAGAAAAGCAGTAGGCCCAGACGATATACCAATCGAAGTGTGGAAAGTTTTGGGAGAGACAGGTATAACATGGCTCACTGACCTTTTCAATAGGATTTTGAAAACGAAGAAGATGCCAAATGAGTGGCGAACGAGCACTTTGGTGCCTATCTACAAGAATAAGGGCGACGTACAAAATTGCATGAACTATAGGGGTATTAAGCTAATGAGTCATACAATGAAGCTCTGGGAGAGAGTCATTGAGCATAGATTGAGGCAAGAGACACGGGTTTCGGACAACCAATTCGGGTTCATGCCAGGGCGCTCAACCATGGAGGCAATCTATCTCTTACGAAGATTGATGGAAAGATATAGAGATGGGAAAAAGGATTTACACATGGTCTTTATAGATTTGGAAAAAGCGTATGATAGGGTCCCAAGAGACATTCTTTGGAGGATTTTAGAGAAGAAAGGAGTACGAGTAGCATATATCCAAGCTATAAAGGATATGTATGAAGAAAGGAGTACTGTAGGATTACATCAAGGCTCATCCTTAAGTCCTTACCTTTTTGCGTTGGTAATGGATGAGTTAACAGGACATATTCAAGATGATATTCCTTGGTGTATGCTTTTCGCAGACGATATAGTGTTGATAGATGAAACTCAGAAAGGGGTAAATGCAAAGCTTAACCTTTGGAGAGAAGTGTTGGAATCTAAAGGTCTTCGCCTAAGCCGATCAAAGACAGAATATATGGAGTGCAAGTTCAGTGCAAATGGAGGCCAAAATGAGTTAGGGGTGAGGATCAGAGATCAAGAAATACCAAAGAGCGATCGTTTTCGTTACCTAGGATCTATCTTGCAAAAGAACGGAGAATTAGATGGAGATCTCAACCATAGAATACAAGCTGGATGGATGAAGTGGAAGAGTGCATCCGGCGTATTGTGTGACCGTCGTATGCCACTGAAGCTCAAGGGAAAATTTTATAGGACGGCAATAAGGCCGGCGATGCTGTATGGCACAGAATGTTGGGCGGTGAAGCATCAACACGTACACAAAATGGGTGTAGCGGAGATGAGGATGCTTCGTTGGATGTGTGGGCACACAAGAAATGATAAGATTAGGAATGAGGATATCCGGGGTAAAGTAGGAGTAGCCGAAATTGAAGGAAAGATGAGAGAAAATTGGTTACGGTGGTTTGGACATGTGCAAAGAAGGCTTACTGACGCTCCGATTAGAAGATGCGACTATGGGACAGAGGTTCAGGGCCGAAGGGGTAGAGGAAGACCTAGGAAAACTTTGGAAGAGACTCTAAGAAAAGACTTAGAGTACTTGGATCTAACGGAGGACATGACACAGGACCGAGCACTATGGCGTTCAAAGATTCATATAGCCGATCCGACTCAGTGACTTGGATTTTCCAAGTCTCCAACCGAGAAGTTTTCCTCACTCGGGAAATTAAGGGAATACTACCTCAACCTACATGCTCCACTCACAAAGCTTCAACATACAAGCTTCAACAAAAGAAAATTCAGAGAACTTAGCGAAGAAGGCTTTGGTGTATTCAACACAATACGTTGAAATGAAGGAAAGCTATTTATTGATATCCCCGATAAGTCACAAATATGTACATATACATGAGTCAAAATAAACAAACAAGAGGGAGCCTTCACAAAGGTTGCTTAGGAGAAGTCTCAGTAGTCGGTAGAGCCCCAGAAAGAGCAGGCACTGGAGGGGGATCATTTGGAGCCTCAGTACTGGACAGAACCCTAGAAGGAGGAGGCAGCAGAGGTTGATCATTTGGAGCTTCATTACGCGGTACAGCCCCAGAAGACGAAGGCAATAAATGCCTTTGGAACAAACCCACAAATCTCTGATGATCAAGTAAAACCTGACCATCAGATTCCTTCATCTGGTCAAGCTTCCTCTTCATGTTTGTAGCATAGTCATGTGCGAGCCGGTGCAACTGTTTATTCTCATGCTTGAGCCCTCTAATCTCCTGTTTGAGACTCATCACTTCAGTCGCCAATGATTCAACTTGGCGGGTTCGAGCAAATAGGCGTTGGGCCATGTTAGACACAGAACCTGCACACTGAACACTGAGAGCCAGAGAATCCTTAACAGCCAACTCATCAGACCATTTGGAAAGTAGTCTGTTATCTTTGGGAGTGAGAAGGTTCCTGGCCACTACCGCAGCAGTCATATCATTCTTCATCACGGAATCCCCAACAGTAAGAGGACCAGTAGGGGAGACGAAGGATGGGCGCCATATGTTGTCTGGAGAAGGCGTGGCTGCCTCTTCAACAAGGTTCAAGTCAAAACGACGGTCGGAGGGGCCAGACATTTTCAAAGGTGTTGAAGAGAGAAGAGGTCGGACAAATCAAGATCTTAGAAGTGCAAGAATGGAGCTTCTACTGGTGGAGATTCAAGTGTGCTTTGGAACTTAATGCCAGCCTCTATAAAAATCTGCACTCGACGGAGCTTCAGAAATCGAAGAGGCGTTTGCTTTCTCAAAAGCTGGGCTGCTCAGAGACCACGAGACGTTTGCTTTCTCAAAAGTTGGGCTGCTCAAAGACCACGAAGGCCGATCTCAGAAATCGAAAAGGCGCTTGCTTTCTCAAAAGCTGGGTTGCTCAGAGACCACGAGGGCCGATCTCAGAAATCGAAGAGGCACCTACTTTTCCAGCCTTGTCAGCACCTGTCAGCTTTGCGGAAATTATGGGCATTATGTCGAAGATTTTTGGTGAAGTAGAAAGCACATGAATCTTACTGTTCAACCACCCACTTCCCACACGCAACATTAGCTCATGGGTACCACAGATAACTTTGCCAAAGTTCTCTGACAAAGTTGAGACACGTGAAGCTTGCAGCTCCCACTACACCGCTCTGACCAAGAAGGGTAAAAGAATAGCAAAGAAACAGCACTAACAAAGTTTAGACACATAAATTTTGAAGGTCTAGCTACCATATTATTACCCACAAGGGTAAAGGAACAGTACCACTGCTGGATAATTGGAAAGTCCCTGTGTGTCAACCTCTGTGCTTCGTGGCAAGATAGACTAGCAAACATGCCCAACCTTTTCTCACATTCGGGAAAACACTCCCAACAAGACTGCTTGCTCCAAAATCGAAGAGGCACCGCCCTCCAAATCTCGAGAGCCAGACTCCCAACATGATTACTTTCTCAAAAATCGAAGAGACACCGCTATCCGAATCTCGAGAGCCAGACCCCTAGCAGGATGGCTTTCT